TTAATCACTCGAATTTCAATCCATTTACAAGAAAGTGTAAATCCTGTAAGTTACTCTCTGCATTAAGAGACTTAACTTCTTGGAGCTCTTTGGAGAATGGCTGATTTTAGGTTTGAGGCAAGGTAATCTCAAGGCAAGCCTATAATACCTTGTGTCACAAAGCAAGGAAGTGCTCAGAAGAGATGAAGACATGTCAAAAGTACAGGAACCAGCTTAAACAGGTCTCCACTGACCAAATTTGGGACAATTTAAGCATCAAAAAGAATGAAGAAAGCAGGCTGGGTATGGTGGCTGACACCTGTAATCCTAGCACTCTGGGAGGCTGAGGCAGGAGTAGATAGCTTGAGCTCAGGAGTTCAAGACCAGCCTGAACAAGAGTGAGACCCCGTCTCTATAAAAAATAGAAAAATTAGCCAGGTGTAGTGGTACACACCTGTAGTCCCAGCTACTTGGGAGGCTGAGGCAGGAGGATCATTTGAGGCCCAGGAGTTTGAGGTTGCAGTGAGCCATGATGATGCCACTACACTCTACCCTGTCTCCAAAAGAAAAAAAAAAAAAAAGAACAAGGAAAGCAAAAGATTGCAACACATTAAATACAAAACCACATGATCTTTTAGAGATGTACATTAACATGCTGCAGATGAAGTGATATGTCTAGATGAGCTTCCAAATAATATCAGGCAGAGGGAGAGCAGGTGGGCTCTCCCTCTTGGATGAAACAAGAGTAGCTGTGAACCAGCCAGCAAGTGTTCAGGCTGAGTATGTAGGCTCATTACACTGCTTTGTCTACTTTCGTTCGTGTTTAAAATTTCTCATAATAAAAAGATTTAGAAAATGAATGCAAAAAAAAATCCTAAAAACAATAAGAAAAAAACTAGGAGTTGATCATGTTTAAAAAACAAGTGGGAAGAAGAGGAAGAAAAAGTTCTTGATGGACAAATCTGAGGCAATAAATGTAGATAGGAAATAAAATTAGAAGATCATTTTGCAACTATCAATATAATATTCCAGTGAGAGTCATCAAAGGAGTCTCAGGACAGGAGTGCTGGCTCACGCCTGTTAATCCTAGCACTCTGGGAGACTGAGGCGGGAGGATCGCTCGAGGTCAGGAGTTGGAGACCAGCCTGAGCAAGAGTGAGACCCCATCGCTACTAAGAATAGAAATTAGCTGGACAAGTAAAAATATATAGAAAAAAAAATTAGCCGGGCATGCTGGTGCATGCCTGTAGTCCCAGCTACTCGGGAGGCTGAGGCAGGAGGATTTCTTGAGCCCAGGAATTCAAGGTTGCTGTGAGCTAGGCTGACGCCACGGCACTCTAGCCCGGGCAACAGTGCGAGACTCTGTCTCAAAAAAAACAAAAACAAAAACAAAAAAATCCAAAAGGTGAGGTGGGAACTTAAGTTCACACCATAAGAAGCTGGTTTTACTGGCTACCTGCCAGTAACTGGGTGGCTGGGCAATGGGAGGAGGAGGGAAACTCTTCACTGCAGTATATGTCTTTCTGTACCATTTGATTTTTTTGAACCAAGTTAAATATTGAAGACAATATATAAAATAGTCTTCTCTAGTAGTAACCATTTATAGTATCAAAACTTGCTGAATTAAATTTCCCCAAATATAAAAACACTGAAGGCCTTTGATAATGGTATTTTTGTTCATTACAACATTCTATAAAGTAATTTATATAGAAATTTTACAGAAAGTGAAAGAGTCGCTATAAGTGTTTCTGGATGTCTTAGGGATTTAAATGGTAGATGACCTAATTACTCTTCTAACTCATGCTGCATCCAAGGCTATGTCCTCTTATTCTGATAAACCTGGTATTTCACTTGTTCCTGAAAACTTAACGGCAGTGCATGCTTGATGTAATGCAACTGACCTAGTTCCCAGCACTTTTTGTCATAAAAAGTCACAAAAACTTACTTTGCAACTGCTATTGTAGGCTTCTGGTTGCTTTTTTTTTTTTAAAGAGACAGGGTCTTGCTCTGTCATCCAGGCTAGAGTGCAGTAGCATAATCATAGCTCACTGTAACCTTGACCTCCTGGGCTCAAGTGATCCTCCTGTCTCAGCCTCCTGAGTAGCTGGCATTATAGGTGTGTGCCACCATACCCAGCTAATGTGTTTTAATTTTTTTTTACTATACAGCAAAAAACAAAACAAACAAAAAAAGGGAAATGACCGTGCTGTGGCTGATTATGCATAAATAATTATAATAAAATAAAGCAGATTAATATCTACAAATATAAAATGATCCTCAAGTTATATAATTAAGTGAAAACACGTGCTGCAGGGATAAGTATATACATGCACTATCTGCCTCCCAGCCAGGAAGGAGGAGAGAAGCTGCAACTACGGAGCATGCCCAGGATATGTGTGGGAACCAAAAGCTGGAGTCCCTGAGGATCAGTAGATGAGAGTAAAGGCCTAAAAAAGCTCATGACCACTTGAGACCCTTTTCAGAAAATTAATCTTTATGTGGTTTTACCAATTATCCACAGTAATTTATTTGCACACCAGCATGGTAAGAACAGGCTCATGCACTTGGTCAAATGAGAGTGCTCTGAATCTCTCCCCTACGTGCTTCCCTCTGGGATGAGCCAGTTACCCACTGCTGAGTCACACTGAGCCCCTGAACCCTTCTGATTGGTACCAAAGAAGCAGCCACAAAATCTTCACCCAGTCCATAGTCACAGGACTTAGTGCCTTGCTATACAATGTAAGTAAATAATCTAAAATAAGCTTTTATTTTAAATGCCCACAATATGTTTCATTGTCTATATGTGTGTGTGTGTGTGTATGTAAAAATAAAATATTGGCTACTATTGAGTATTTGCTATTTGCCAGAGATTATGCTAAGTGCTTTGTGTGGATTATCTCATGTAATCTTCCTGATAAATCCATGGGATGGCAGTATCATTATCCTCATTTCACTGATAAAGAAAATTAAGTCTAGGGAGGTAAGTTAATTTGCTCCATGTCATAAAGCTTAGATTCAAACCCAAGAGTTTGACTCAGAGTATCCACTCTAAACTATGATAACATGCGGAATAAAACATTTTAATTAAGAAGAAAAAAGACAGTCATCAATTGAAATTTTTAAGTTAATAAATTGGGAGCCTAGTATGAAAATTATATTCTAGTAAATACACATTCCATTTTTCCATTCTGCAATCAGCCAAACACTTACTTGAAAAGGGGCATTACCTGACAGTAGAATTGTTGCTGGGTTCCTGCTCCAGGCGTGTTGCTGAAGGTGCTGGTAGATTTGGAAGAAGAAACTGGAAGACGATGAGACACACTGACCGGGACTGGAGTCCTGTTTGGCTGGGTCAGCTGATCTCCCGTGAAGTTTGATCCTGATGCACCAGACTGAACTGCAGACCCAAGGCTAGGGTGGGCAGTGCTGGCTGAACTGACAGCGGGGAACCGACTAGGTCCTGACATGCCTGTCACCGAGGGCATGGTGGCGAAGCCAGGTCTTCCTTGGGAAACGCTGCTCTGCCCGGGTGACAGGTGCAATACAGTCGGTGATGCCTGCTGCAAGGGCATCTGTCCACCGACAATCTGAGGAGAGGCATGATTGACTATCACTGGACTTCCAGAGGCAGCAAACGTCTGCCCAGACACTAACTGGACGGCCGTATTCTGGTTGTTGAGCATCTGTCCAGAATATGGTTGGTTGGTCCTGAGCATGTTGGAAGAATTCCTGTTCAACATGACATGCTCTGAGGCCACTTGGCCAGAAATGAGCTGAGAGGATTGAGTCTGAAGAAGTTGCCCATTTATGGTCTGCACATGGTGTACCGAGTTGGAACTGACGGAAAGGCTTGTAGGTATGAGGAACTGACTTTGGGGTGCATGAGGCTGGCCCATGGGGGAATGAATAACAATACTGCCCCCAGTGCTGCTCACTGCTTGTGAGGTGACTGGCTTTCTTGTGTTCTGTTGGTTTACAATGTTCACAGACATGTGTGGACCAACTACTGAGCCCTGGGGTGAGCTTGCAGAAGCAAAAGAGATGCCTTGTTGGACGTGGTGTTGCTGAATTCCCAAACTGTTCACATTGTATGTATTTTGCTGACCCATCTGGATAGGCTTTGGCTGTATATTAATTGGGACTTTGTTTGAGTTTGGCGCAAGACCCCTTTGTATGATGATGTTATGCACAGGTAAAGACGTCTGAAAATTTGTGCTGTTAAATGGAACAGTAACAGGCTGCGCTACTGGACTAGAACTGGAGTTCCCAAACAAGGAGTTGCCATTAGGAGTCTGTCTATGAACCAGAAGCCCTCCACTCACATTTGATGGAGCTTGCTGTCCACTGCCCTTCAGTATGATTTGGGATCCATCTAGGTTATTAATAGTCATCATGGAAGGGTGATTACCAAATGACCCAATTAACTGTATTTGACCGGAACCACTAATCTGACTGCTATTAGACAAATGCTGGCTGGGAACGCTGATCCCCACGTGTTGCATAAAGCCATGTTGCACACCCACTGTATTGCTTGCAAATGATGCTCCAACAGGCACGTGCGTCACCCCTATAGGCTGTAGCGTCTGACCTGAGTAATTAGAAACATTAGAAGCCTGAGTAAAGGATGCTGATGAAGAAGGATGAAGCTGAGCTTGTGCAAACTGTTGGCTTGAACCTATGCTGGCATCCAGATATGCCTCTTCTGCCAATGTCTGTTCAGTGATATTGGCCTCCTGCAAGGATTTCTGAAGAATGTCGAAAGGTTGGTCCTCACTGAGATCAGGAAGAGGAGAAGATTCAAGTTCATCTTCAAGAAACTGAAGGCTACTTGAAAGTGGCAGTCCATCACTGGGCCCTTCTCCAAGCTGGTTGCTCACACCTTTGAGGGATGACTTAGGATCAGCATTCTAGAAAAATAAGCAGTGTATTACATGGCATATCTAATCTTTGAAAAAGATGCATTAAAAAATCTCACTTTTGAACATGAATAAAGCATAAGTTTGCTTTCCAGGTCCAATTCTCTAAACTGTTCCTTTTATTCTGATATTTTATTTCCTTAGTAATAATGCTTAACGTTATGTCTGTAAGTATGCGCATTCATTGCTCTGGTGAATTATTTTGTAGAGAACAGATAAATAACACAAACATACTGAGGACTACCTAGAGCTTAGCTTCATTTTTTTGAGATACTGGCATAGACTTTATTTTTTAAGATTACCCTCAGTCTAAGGCTTGAGTGGGACTCAGCCCAAAGTATGTGTGTATCCCGGAGGCAACTATGTCTACTTCTTTGTACCTCAGAAGTCTATGTGGGTTTTGGGGGCTCTGGATGTCCAGAAGGTCTCTACTCCCCACCACCCCAGGCAAGACCAGTCCAGATAAAAACAAGGTTCCAACATAAAATGAGTGAATGGTCATTTGATTTCTTAGAAGT